ATTTCCCTTGTGCTTTCATCTTTGAGCCATTGGTTGTTTAAGAGTTTATTGATTAATTTCCATAATTCATGGATTTTCCAGTTTTCCTTTTGGCTTTTGAAATCAAACTAGAATTCTAGCAATTCCTCTCAGCTTCTTGAATTTAGATGTCCATTTCCTTCCTCAGATTTGGGAAATTTTCAGCTATTATTATCACATCTCCTTGTCATTATAGACTAGATTTATACAAGGAGGAGGACCAGTCAGCCTGGCTAGAGAATCAGAGGGCTTCTCAAGCGTTTTCTGGTGGGCGTCATCTCTTGGCCTATGCATATAATTTCCCGATTAGAAAATTTGCAAGTTTCTTTATTAGAAGTTCATAATCTCTTGCTGCTTCTGTTGTCTGTCCACATACTGCAAGTTCTCTGGTGCTACAACAAGTGCCAACCTCTTCTTTGTTCTCAGCAACCCCCATACATTCAAAATATAGCGGTTCCCATGCCCTCCCAGTCTGGGGAGACAGAAACTAGTCCCTGAGACAGCCCCCGGAAAGGGTAGAATGTTGGGCTTACATTCCACTTTCTTTTTCCCTCCCAAGCAAGAAATCACAAGTCGAATATTTTCTCCTAGTCACGCCAAGTTGTGCTGGCTTGGGGGAAGAGTTACCACAGGTGAAATGCAGTTGCTTTTCTTACCCATTTCAATGCAGCTGTTCTTTCCTTTGAGCTTTAGTTGGAATCTGACATGACCTTGGGTTCTTCTTTGCTTCTCTCTTGAACCCAGCAGCCTCACATGAGGAGCTCTCCCAGCAGATCACTTGCTTCCTTTAAGGGCAGATCTCTCACTTTAGGGCAAGAGTAGAACCTCTAGCTGCTTTGTTACAGGTGGCATGAAAAAGGGCTCCCATGGCCCCAGCTTTTCTGGAGACTGTTCTTTAATGCATTTACTTTAGTGCTGACTCCCACGCCCAATCTTTTCTTTTTGTAGAGTTAAATCTGACGTTGGCCCCTCTCTGGGCTTCTTTGGGAGGACCTGCGTTTGTCTCAGGTGACTTGAGCTACACTTTTCACTTCATTGGTCCTATTCTCAGAAGTTCTGGCAACTTCTCTCATTTTCCAGTCTTGTTTCTTTTAGAATATATATTTCTATCATTTCAGGGTACCCTTGGGAGGTGGAAGAAGTAGCTGTTCATGCTTGGTCTACCATCTTAAAATGACAATCCCCAAGGTTGTTTTTTTAAGAACCTAATTCCTTAATATTTTTTCAATCTCTGCTCCATTAGTCATTTTTATTAATTGACATCTGGCATACTATTTGTCTGGTAATCAACAGAGGATACTTTTTTGAAGAAGTTTCTTTTGTTCACTTGTGGCTGAGTTCTGAATGGAAAGAGGTAATACTGCAGACACACCACTGTAGGAATCAGATTAGTTTTTCAGAATTCTAAGAATTCAACTCTAATTTGCATTTTCTGTTTCAGAAGAGACAGGGTTGGGGACACATTGCTACAAAACACAGCTGCTACTGTTGATCATATCACGAGTTTTCTAGTTTCTGCAGAATAAAATAGTTTTACTCACTCTCTGTACACCTGGCATGAGATTCCCAGGGTTTGACAGCCCTGCCATGACCAAAGGTGAGCAATACTCTAATAGCGGAGCAGGCAGTACTTTACCGCTGGCACTGGAAAACATTTAGCTTCTCTGAGTGCTAATTTTCTCTGGTCCTGTTCTTTTTCCCTTTCCCTAGTGAGACATCCTATAATCATTGTTTAAAACATACTGTTATGAGAAGCCAACTTCTTGTATTTATTGGTTTAAAAATTCTGCCCATCTCACCACCCTGCCCCCCACTGTTTCTTTTCTCCCTTACATTGTTTAGGATATAATTTTCCAAGTTTTAGTTTAAAAGAGAACTGTTGGTGAAGAATCACAATCATGGCCCGTAAAATATCTTCACTTTTCATAGACCAGCTCCTTCCACCCAACTCTTCATTATGAGTGTATTTTTCTTCAAATATAAGTAGATTTCTATTTCGTCTTAGGTTTTCTTTTATTTAAGTAAACAAATCAAAATGGCTGAATGCTTTTTACAATTTCTTTTCTCAGATCTGTTAGCATAAAGCTGTTCTCAGCCTTGGAACAGAATTGCTGTATGGAAAATATAAATAATATCCAAAAAATTGATCCTAAGAAATGCAGTGATATAAATGTTATTTAGGTTGCCAGGCTAGACTACAGAAGCTTATTTAATCCATTATGATGCTCAACTTGAATTAGTTCCTGGGGAAAAGAAGCCAGTAAGAAGGGGATCAGGATTGGGAAGGTCTGATGTACCCTTTCCTGACCATGGAGATAACATTGGTTCCTTTCTGCTTCTCTTTACCCCTCTTCCTTGAAACTGATCCCTACTGCTGAAGCTGCTTGTATCTCTGCTATGGTGTCTTCCCACCCCACTCCCAAGTATTCAATTTTATTTGCCAAGAGATGGAGGACAGAGAGAAAGAATTTGCTAGTACCAACTAATTAAATTAATTAACTAATATCTGTGAATGGTTGATACTCCTTAACCTTCCCAGGGGTGTTTTCACTTTTTACAGAAAATGTGTATTGAAGCAAATAAACCTATAATTGGTGAAACTTCTGGGAGTTTAGCAAAGTAGGAGAAAAACCAGTATGACAGACTGGGGAGGTTAGGAAGTGATGGACAAAGGCCACCATCTAAGCAGTCTGGCCCTGCATAAGTGCTGTTTACATATTTGCAGTGTGAATGAATACAAAATGACTACTTTCTCCAGCTTCTTTTATTCTTGGTCTCCAGTTAAAAAGGCAAAGTTCTCAGAGCTTCATTTTGTCTGATTTTGGTCTGTTTACTGGGCAAATGAGCAATCATGACCAAGTGGGCTTAGGAGCCTGGCAAGGCATGTGTAATTTGTTTATTAAGTGATGAATTCCTGTGTTCTTTTTTATGTAAGATTTTTCCCCCTTTATATAAGTAACTCATAACCATTAAAGACTAAAGATCAAGAGATCACCCATAGTGCCATCATCCAAAGAAAACCATTGTGAAGATGTTATAATTTTAGAAAAATAAACTATAGAGAATTACTCACAAAATTACCCATGTTGCTGTGTGTTTAAACATTAAAATGGCCTCTTGTTTTGATTAATATTATCTAATCGATACCAACTTTTTTAAATTCATGAGAGTTTTACGAACATTTCATGTGGAAACCACAGCACCTAGGTCTGTGGCAACCTTGCTTAGTCACCCAATAACCAATCCTGGTTCCCAAAGAGTTAACACACTTTCCAGATGCCTTACCTCCAAGAGAAGCATGTCCTTCCTTGTCAGGATGTTTTGTTTTGTCTTTTAGCTTCTGCCAAGACTCTGAGGAAGAAGAAAGGGGTACACATTTATTAGGAGAGATGGAAAGGGGCCAGTGACTTGATCATGGTGGGGCTCCGGCAACTTAAGGCCACACAGTTTCTGAAAAGTATGGAAGATTTGTTTTTATCCACTAATTTATTTCTTGTCTAATATTTCCACTGAAGTGATTGCCTCATATACAGTTATATCTCAGTACTCTATTGGAATGAAATAATGGCACAGTATAGCCCTTTCTGAATTATTCACTTAATCTTTGGAGATTATATCCAGGTTCCTGTTAATTCAGTTAGTTTAGAATTTAAGCATATGGTATCATCTGATCCATGCTGTATTATTTTCTTGTTTTCCTACTAAAGACCCCTAATCAGTATCTTCCAGTGTTGTCTTCGATTATAGCATTCACATTTACATGAAGGCTGCCTGTCCCTGGTCTACTCCAGGTCTCTTGTCAATACCAGGCACTGCCTGGCCTGCTCTGGGGTTCTGCTGATTTTCAAGTCTTTTGATTGAATTATTGCTTGCTCTGGCATCATGCTGATTTCCTTCACTATTTCATGCTTCTCCCAGGAGATATCCATTTGTTATTTATCTGTTGTCTTCCTTCTGAAAATATCACAGTAAGGAATTCATTTAATTTTTTCCAACGGTCTTCTTTTTCTGTCAATAATTCAATGCAACATTTCTTAAAAACTGTTCCATCTCTTTCATTGATTTTTTTAATGCCTTTTAATTATTTCTTACCTTTAAACACTCACAGCTTTTAATCCTTAGTAGTTCATGCTGTCACCACAGGACAGCTTTATTCCTTTGGTTGTTCAGATTTCTGTGGGTGTTGATCCTGCATCATAAGATGATGCTAGGTTTGGAGAAGTATCAATAGGTTGAGGCTATACATCTGAAGAGCAGAATTACCAATGGAAGAAATACTGTTGACTTAATTATAAATCTCATACCATATATTATAGAGAACCTTATTATGATGCTGGTGTGGAAGGGAAATACATAGCCAAGTTTTAAGTTTCCACGTTCTAGTGGATACACTCTACATTTCTGTGTACCTCCCCTACCTAACATGGAGTCAGCAGCATGAGGTTAGTCATTCAGTTAATCAATGTTTACTGATGATCACGTTATGAGAAAAACTACACCAGAAAGTACTGAGGATGTAGAGGATTCAAGGTACCTTATGTTTGAGACACATGTACACTTCATACAACTCAACCCAAAGCTCAACACAGAGGGATGTTTTTGGGCAGAGAATGAAATAATTCCACAAATATTATACACTAAGATACATTGTTAATGCACAGTCAGAAAAAAAATTTGTAGAAGACTTTGGAATAAACTTTATTTTTCGATAAAACATTAAGAGTAGCATATGATATCAATTTATAGGAATAACTGATTTTTAAAAGAATAAAGCAGAGTAAGTCAATAATTATCGAATGGGCCACAGTGGGGTGGCCTAAATATAACTCACGGGCCTGGTTGGTCTTTGGTACTTCACAGGCCAGTAATTAGAACTTATCTAAGATTAATGAAAAGGACCCCATATTGCTTAGGTACCAATTTATTTCCTTGCACATGTGGTCTAATGTATCACATTGACATATACTCTTTCTTGTTTTTAGCATGCACTCCTGGCTTTAAAGTTTATACTCGCATTTGCTATACCTGATAAACCACGGCATATCCAGGTGAAACTAGCCAGATTGGAATTTGAATCTTTGGAGGCACTCAAGCAGCAGGTAAGAGCAACTATCCTGAAAAATGAATGTCTTTCTTTAGCAAATGACAGGAAACATAATTCACAAGAATCACTCTCAGCATTTACTTCAGCCTTGAAGTTACCAGTTTAAGTAAATACAGAGGACTCTAGTTTAGGATGGCATAACAAAACCAAAATCCTAACAATATGAACAAGCAAACAGGTTAAAAGAACTAAACTAAGCAAACAAAAATATTCAAGCAATGTTAAATAAAGAACAGCTCGCAAAAAAATAAGATAGAGATTTCTAAGATCACTCTGGGGCAGCTCCCCACAGTTTCTAATTCTTCCCTCTGCAGCAACATTAAGTGAGGAGAAGTGAGTAAATAGAATTCTTAATAGGGTCTTGCAGAGAGCAAGACATAATGAGTTTGGGTGGATATAAGCAGCAAAAATTGCCATTAAAGGAGAAACTGCTCAGTAACTTCACATTCTACCAGAGTCCACCTCCCCCCCTCCCCCAAAAGAAGCCATGCTGGAATTCACCATTTTGGTGATTTTCTGCAGGTAGGAGAAAGAGAGCAGAGAGACAGAGGATTCCTAGATGCCCAGAGCATCTCTCACTGGTTATCCCCAGTGTTACATAGGAATTTAAGCAACAACAAAATCAATAAGACAGTATCATCTGAGGGGACAAGCTCTGGGTCCAGGACCTCTTGGACCCGTACAGTCTCTTTGGCCTCCAAACCACTTTGCACGGGAATATTTCTTCTTATGTTTGGGGAGTTGGGAGGAAAAAAAAATGTGAAGAGGACTCAGCCAAGCTGACCCTCTGATAGAAACATGAGGGCCCCAAGGGTACTCACCCTGACTGGGTGAGGTGACCCCAGAAGAGGACTTGTGATAAGAGTGTAGAAAAGAGGGAGAGCCTGGACCCATCAGCCAGAGCCGTGCTCATGTGCACAGTAGATGGGAAGACTGAGTTGCCCGTGTCTCCTAGCAGTAGGGCAAGTTCACTTGTGGCATGTGGGCTAGGCAGTATGTTTGTATAAAAAACAAAAACCAGCATCGTGCTCACTAGTGAAACTCCAGAAGCTTCCTAGCATTGGCAGGAAACCCATCATCACCATTGTTCTGGAGATACTTACCAGTGCAATTGTATAAGGGGAAGAAATAAGTTCAAGTAACCTGA